TTTGTTAGCCACTGTTCTATTCTGCTTTTCAACATAGTGCACTCTTAAATCTTCACCACTCTCTCGAGGGCTTTGCTATCCCTTATTGCTATGTAATTGCTCTCCTCTTTCTCTATTTTCTCTTTTCTCTGTGCTTTCACATTTTTCTACTTTTCTACTCTTTTTCCTTTCTCTTCCCTTAATTCTCTCTATTCAATTTTTCTAATGAACATAACCTTTACTAAACTATATAGTGAGGTATTTCATCCTGATGTATTTTCTCTTTTCTTCTTTACCTGGCATATGGCAGGCATAAAGCAAGAAGGATGTAAGAAGCCAGGGAAGACAAAAGGTGAGTTAAGATTGCATAGTGTAAAAGAAAGTTTTAAGAAACAGAGAAAACTAGAAATAGGTCTTAAAATGTGACAAAAGAAAGATCAGTGATTATTACCAAGAGCAACATTTTTTAGCTGAAGTATGGGAGAGAAGGATGTAAGGAAGAGTAACACTTGGTAAGGAAATGGAGAGATCTAACCACTAAAGACGACCTGCTTGAAAACCCTGGTATGAAACAATGTAAAGAACTAAGATCATAGCTATAAATGATAGCTGAATCAAATGAACGTTTTGTGGTTTGGTTTTTTTTTTCTTTGAGTAAAAGTAGATTTATTCAGGGACATACACACTCCATAGATAAGAGTGGGGGCCTTCTCAAGAAGCAAAAGAAAGAGAGGGAGAGAGGCAGCCCCACAGCACAGGGTGGTCTAGGAAAGTGAGATTAGCCGCAAGGTGTAGGGGTGGTTAAAGTAAAAGTAGATACGCACTCCACAGAGTGTAGGCCATCTCAGGAGGCAAGAGAGAGCCAAGGTTATGTGTTTTGGTTTGGTTTATTTCTTTAACTAGAGAAATCTGAGTTAATTAAATTAAAATTCAATGCTCAGTAAACCAGTTTGTCTAGTGTAGAAAATGAAACCATAAACTCCAAGACATTAAGGACTTTGTCTTGTTCATAGCCATCACACTCAAGGGTTGGCACATAACTCTAAGTAGAATTATTCTAATTCAAAAAAATCTATAAATTGTAGATAATCCATTCTTTAGTTTCAGTATGTAATCCTTATCTTCTGTCAACTGAATGCTGCAGTAAATGTGCATTCATGGTACAAATATTTGTTGAGGTAGTTGTATCAGATAGCATTCTTGGTCATGAGACTATATTAGTGCACAAAACCAAAAATGCATTTACTCTAATAGGAGGAATTGAACACAAATCCACAAATAAAAAATGTAAGATGCCAGAAGTGATAAGCCCTAAAAAGAATATAAAAACACCATAATAAGAAATCCAATGAATGGGAAGTAGAGGTTAGTATTTTATACAGGATGGTCACAGCAGGCTCTGTTTAGGTAATATATGAATGAGAACGTGAGTCGGGCAAATAAGCAAAGAGCACTACAGACAGATAGGGCAATGATTCCAAAGGCCTGAGAAGGAAGAACATTTAGTGCTTATGGGGAAGGGCAAGGAAGCCACTATGGCTGGAGTAAAGGAAATGAAGGAGAGTAAGAGAACCAGGTGTAATACATCAATAATTCATCTATAATAATTATAATTATACCTAATCATCACTGGAGTCTTTCACACAGAAATAGTTTTTAAACCAATGGATGGGGGGGGCGGGTGGGGAGAATTGAAGGAAACCTCAAATTAGTTACCCTGCAAAAATTCCCTATGTTTTAGCATTCATTTTTTCTTTATATAACCAAAGAATTCTAATTGTTTCAATAATGCAAGCAATACTCTGAAGTTCAGCATGTCGATCCATTAATTAAAAATCATTCACATTAGATTTCAGTAATTGTACATTCATTACTCTCAAATATGATACAACACCAACTTCCTTACAGAAAACAGTGGCCTACTCAATAGGTGTGAATACTCTTTGGACAAGTCTGCTGGAATATCCTATTGACAAGACTCCAACTGGAACACTGATGTCCAATTCCAAGAGCTTATGTGTTAAGAGGAATGCACATCAGTGGGTCTAATTTTCTAATCATGTCCCTTTCCTGCCTACCTGCCAATAACTTGGTATGGTTAAAAGAAATTCAACTATTTCCACATATGCCGTAGTACCTACTATGGGTTAATATGCCTAACAGAAAATTGATTCCATTAAGCCAAGATATTTTTCATATCAGCATTTTTTGTTTAGTAAGTGCTAAATAATAACATTGGGAATAAAGAAAATAAAAAATATCAATAAAATACATATTAGAGATGAAAGAATTTCAGAGGGCATTTATTTTGGGGAGAAAAAAGCTAGTTGACAAAGCAAAATAAAGCCCAGTTTTTTCCAAGAAATTGTTAAAAGCAAGTTTCAAATGTCCTTTTTTAATGAGATAAAAAAGAAATACTACGAAAACAAGCCAAATGTGCATTTGAAAAATAGAGAACTTGCCTATAGTTACGTAAGCAATTAAAACAAATAAAACTAAACATGCTGCAAAATGTGCACATTCAATCCAGCCAAGATGGTTACACCCACTCCCATTAGAAAAACAAAATGTAAGACAAAATGGGAAACTAATGAGCTCAGCTGCAGGGGCTTGTTTGTTTTTTAATTCCATCCATTTGCTCAAAACGTAATTTCTATTTTACCCTTATGTCTCTTGTCGGCTATAAGGGGAATCAAATGTTCCTGAACAAGAATCTGAATAAGCTCTGAAAACACATAATACAAGCTTCATTTGTTCTAATGCATATCTGGTGTGTTCTGTTTTAACATTTTTGACAGGTTAATCCTTTGTCTTCATGTTTAAAGAACACAAATGTTTTTTGCCAGTGCTGTTGAACAGATCATGTTGGGGTGAAAAGAAAAAGTTATAGAGGAGGAAGGCATGTCTGTTTTTCCAAGACGCTTTGTTAAGCAAATGGAGGAGGAAACATACCTAGGTAACTTGACCATGGAATACAGATGCTATGATTCATTATGAAAGTAGAAACAAAGCCCACTAATAAAAATAAACATTTTAAAGGGAAATTCTTCTTATCTGAAATAAAGAAGTAAGTTATTTGAAAACCTTTCAGACTAAAAATAATAATCCCAAATTTTGCAGAAAAAACGGTGATAAAAACATCTCAACACTAAAGAAAATTGAGGCCAAGAGAGTTATAAAGAATGGATAAAGTAACAAAGGTGACAAAACTAGTTTCTGTGAAAAACCAGTTCACCATGCAAAGCAAGGCACTAGCTAAAAACAGATATATTCAGTATTCAGTTTCAGTTTTAATTGACTATATTTAGTATTGTTTGGTTTTGTTGAGCTTGAATTTAATTAGAAAAAAATTATGAGAATTATTTTCAAATTTAATTGCAATTCTGGTTTAATTTTTTTAAATAATGTTCAATTTCAGGTCTTACTTAGGAAAAGAATGTAAGTCTGATTCCATGAAAACAAATACTACTATAATCCAAGTGCCTAATAAAAAGTGCCAAACCTCGGTCCAATATCCCATAAGGATGTGTTATTCAATGAAGACTACCAAAAATAAACAAAACTCTAGTACCACAAAAGAATTGGAGAGTACATTTGAATTTGTTTACAGTATAGAACATGATCTATAATTCAGATGAGCATTAGTGGCTATCATGCATGAATTTTAGCAGGATGTTTTTTAGTTTAACTAGAGTTAAAATTTGAAGACTAATCTACTAAAACAGTGTTAAAATATTTGCTCTATTTACACTATAAAACTTTATTTGAAATAACATCTACCTACAGCAGATATCCAGCTCCATCTAAAAGAAACTGTGTCTCCAAATGGACTTATTTTTCCTCCCAAATCTACTCCCTGCTTCCATAAATGATATCAGTTTATTAGGAGATGCCTAGGCTTAATCTCAGCATCATTTGATACTTCCCTTTCTCTCTCTCAACCTGTCCACTCCTAACTACTTAGTGCAAAGTCCTATTATCTTTGACAACTGTCCTTTTCACTTCAGTCTCATTATGAAGACTTTAGTTTAAACATTATCTTTATTAGTCTCTGGCGATTGCACCTGAACTGGTCTCCTGATCTCTAGTTTTGATTCATGCCAATGCATCTTACAAACTTTTGCTAGATTAAAGCTCTAAAGAATTTCCCACCTTAAAAATTTCTAAGAGATTCTTGCTGAATATAGAATAAAAGTACAAGTTTTTTAGGACCTTTTTCCAAGATCTTGCTAAATATGGTATCAATCTACCTAACATATTCTCTCATTTCAACATAGAAGTACCATTCACTAGAGCTAAAGAGAACTAACTGATATTTCTGGAATGGGGCCTATAATTTCTGACTTTACTTCAGTGTATATGATTAACAGATTCTTTCTACTTAAAATTATACTCCCCTTAATCCATTCATCAGATTATTCATGGTACAGTTTACATGTCACCTCCTTCAGGATGCCTTCTCTGATTTCCCCACCATGTAAATCCCTCCTCTGTTGAACATCTACAGTGCCCTGTAAATTTATCATATAACACTTCATACTTTATAACAAGGCTATTTATGGAGCAAACTTAATTCTCTTACTAGGTTTCATAAGGGGGGAAATACCCAGAGGGGAAAGCTGCTTAAGGGAAATAACTACAGAGCCACACACTGTAAGCACTCATGTATATATGCTGATTGCTGACATAAATGAGCATACACACTATATTGATAAAGAGGTATGGAATAGTATGATGATAACATACCTAGTGAGTACTATGTCCCAGTAATTTAAAAGTAGACTATAGCCTAAATTTAAAGAATTGTATTATACAATAGGATTTCAAATTATATTAAATCACCAACATTAATGCCAAAGGAAAAAGAATCAAACCCACATGTTCTTAGATAATATAAAACTCAAATGCCAGGACATATTATTTATTCTACATAGATATTAGCAGATTTGTTTTCTAACTAAACATATATATTAGAAAGTTGTTGATAGCATACTGACATAGTAAAGAAAATTCTCCCTTACTTCGAGTAAACTTAGGAAATCTTTTTTTCAGTTTCTTCTTTAATGGATTAAGCTCGGGCATTATTTCTGGAACAGCTACATAAAAGTCTGGTTGAATTTCATCATCTAAAATCTGAAAATCGGGGGAAAAAAGATAATCTTAGATTATATAAAAATCTTCATCCTTCTGAAAATAAAGTATAATATAGCAATTTCCCTTATAATTTAGAAAATAGACATTAAGCACAATTTTTTCTTCACACACATGGATCATATGAACACATCTGCCAATTATGAAAACCATCAGAAGCAGCAAAACATTTTCTGACGTTTTCCTTTAAATATAGCCACATTCATTTAAAAAAAAGCATTTATTAAGTTTAATTCTTCCATAAGGTTATGTTAGGCAAAAGTGCTACAAGCTAAAACATAGCACTGATATATATATGGCTCATACAATCCCACAAAGTTGAATTCGTACGTCCATTAAGACTGAAGAAACACACTGAAAATTTTGCAATGGATCACTTATAAAATTAATAACACTAGCTGTCAAACCACTAGCAAATACACTGCCTTCCTAAATATAGATCATTAAGAGAACTGAATCTATAATTATTTTCACAAAGAACTGAAACAAAAATTCTCTTTGCCTCTAATAACTAAAAATAAAGTAAGAGTGGGATGGTCAAAGACAAGCTTACTTGTATTTTATTATCCATACTCTCATTTCATTTTGAAAGCAAAGAGAATAACTTCAATTTTTAAAAGACATTTTAAATTAATCCAGGCACCCCCAAATAATTCTTGTACTACTACAGTACACTCCATTTAAAAATTTAGTTCATTATAAAATGAAGCAACTTTTTAGAACAATATTACCTAGCAACAAATATTTAGCAAGGACTCTTTTTGCATAAAATCTTACCACAATATGTCATCCACAGTCTTGGTTTGGGGTTACACAGTGAACGCTAAAAACTTGAACTCTGGCAAAATTAAGCAGTGATTGTGGAATTTTATCTTTCTGTTATTATTCTCTCTTTTTACAAGTTCTTTACTCCCTAAATAACATACTCCACTCCCTTGAACAATAACTTACATTAAACAAGCACTAATCACATGCCAAGGATTCTGCTAAATACGTTACATAGTTTAGTTCATCAAGTCTTCACAATAACCAAAAGAGGGAACAGTACTAATATTGATTACATGTGCCAGATGAGGAAGTTGAGGACTTGGGGAAGATGAGTCAGTCTGTGCACTTTTAAGAGGCACACCCAAAATTCAAATACAGGCAGTATGGTTTCAGAACCAGAGCTCTCATCACTAAAAATATGAAAGCAGAGGCAATTCTGAAATGACAAAGAACTGTACGTGAAATTTCTACTCTAAGATCTTCCAATGCTGATTCTAAAACATGTTCCTTTGAATTAAATTAAAAATTATGTTTGAAAGTTATGCTATAGTTAACCTTAAGACTATTATCACAGAATACCAAACTATATAGATGGAAATCATGCTTTAGAGAGACAAGTAAAAATGAAACTATTTTAAAATCCCTTAGAACCAAGCATACTTCTGATATTTCACAAGTATTGTAATCAAAGCAAAATGAATTTAGTAAATAAAAGTCTTACCTAAGAAATGGCTAAAAGTTCAGTAAATTCATCCTACGTTTACCTATTATAAGCACTAAGTAAAATTTAAAAACTAAGTATTTAAACTAATTAAAAATACAGAAATATGTTTTAAAAAATTGCAGCCATGATACTATTTACAAAACTGTACTGAATTTACTTCACAACCTGAATACCTTTTAAACACAAAATGGATGAATTTTAAGATACCAGGGGATAATCTACAAGAATATACTGGTTTTGATGCCTTATAAAGGTGGCATTTTTCCCTCTAATAATAGATTAACACTTGGGCACCTAAAGAGAAATTCTGTTCCTGTAATATTTTACTTACCAAATAATTCAAAATATACTTGGTTTCCTTATTTGGGTTACTTTCTCAAATATGTTTTTGTTTAATGGATTTAATGCTGCAGAACACTTTCTGCTCCCTTACCATTTCTTTCTTGAGAAGTAACTTCTTACTGAGCATTTAAGGAGTGGAGGTATCTATTTAAACTCTACTGTTGCTATGACAGTTCTATATGATACTCTTAGGCTTGAGGGAAAAAAACAGATGGAAAGCAGCATACAAGTTTAATAAGAATGGCTAGTTCTCTGATTTCAAAGATCAAGCTCCACTCTCAAATTCCAAAGAATCTGTGGTTTTGTTTATTTTTTTAATAATTTAAAGAATTTTAATAATCTTATTAAATTAAAATGTATGATACGCCAGAAAGTACTGGGTATCACCCTGTGACTTTCACCTAGAATCTCTATGAAAGCATAATCTCTTCATATTTTCCATTACTTCTGCTCCCCAAAATAATTCTGGAAATTCTCCTTAAAAATCCAGAATTCACACCAAATTTAGACTACTACTTGGATAGAAAAAAACAAACTACAAGCACTGATGCATGTGCATCCCAAAAGAAGGGTCGAGTTAAAACTTCCCCCAAATCAAAATCTGAATATGGGACAAAAGATAAACTTTCAAATCACTTTCTCCTGTTCTAAAAACAAAAAAGAAAAGTATTACAGAGTCTAAATGATTAAATTTAGAAGAGAAGATTAGAATGTTACGGAAAATCTTTTGTATTTTCAGAATAACTCCCAAAGTTCAACAGATGTGCCTCTTCTTCCACCTCTTAAAAAAAAAAAAATGCTGTCTTTGTTGCAAACAGGCTCCACAAATTCTCTCCTATTTTCTCAAGACAGGCTATATGATCATTTTTTGCCTCCATGCTGAGCCTACACCACTTGAACCAATGGGGCTGGGGGGTGCGGGTGATAAAGTTAAAAGTAACCAAAAAAAACATATTATAGAGGTCAGATACTATCCTTTGTGACTAAAGCAAATCACACTTTTCACTCCCAGAAATCAAAACTAGTATTTGATCTTCAAACTATGAATAAAGATATCCACATGTGCTACCTTTTAGATTTTATCTTGAATCTCACATTCAAAACCACAGAGTCATATCACCCTTTCCGGCCTACCCACGAAACTCTAGGAAACACATAGGAAGCAAGGGGAAAAAAAAAAATCACAGTATAAATCAAGCATACTTAATGCCAGACTGTCTGGATAGTTTTCTCTTAGCTTGATTTTGAGACTCAAAAGAGTAGGAAAATTTTCCCGTTTTGTAAAGCTCTACCTAACCATTTATCAAAAGATATGAGTACAGTGGTTATGTCCCACATGTAATAAATCAATGGGTGACAAAGATAACGGAACAATTTCTGTAACTAATGAACACAAAAACAACACTGTACCTTCTGAATCAGATTAGTTCCTCCTGCAAACGCAGCTCCATTTTCTTCTGCTATTTTAATCTCTGATGCATTCTACCAAAATAAAATATTTTGAACATCAATCCTTAAACAAATTCTGCCTGCTTTCAAGCATTTTGTCACAAATAACACGACAGTTCAAAGTAAAAACTGTGTTTTTTACTTTTAAATAAAAAATGCATCAATTTTCAACCAGATGCATCAGAGATATTACAACCAGAACAAGTTTAGTTTGTAAGTGACTAAGGTGTTTCTTAACTAATATATGAGGAAATACATCAAAATGGCATATTAGGAACACACCAAATAGTTCAATTTAAGTCTCCAATGCCATCAATATATCATATTGCAAAAGTAAAAAATTAAAATATATTTAGGTTTTGGTTTTTTTTCTTATTTCTTATCGAAGTGCAGTCGATTTACAAACATTAGTTTCAGGTGTACAGCAAAGCTACTCAGTTACACACACACATACATACACATACATTTTTCAGTTTCTTTTCCATTACAGCTCATTATAAGAAACTGGATACAGTTCCTTGTGCTATAAAAATATTTAGTTTTGCTAATTTAAATGAAGACATTTTATCAAACCAATATAGAAGAGTAAAAATTTTTAAGAAATAACAGAAACAAAATTTAGCTTGTTATCTGAAAATTCAAAAAAAATACACGGTATTAGTGTTTTTTCTATATGTTCCATTTATGCCATTTGGTTTTACTGTGAAAATATATCACTCCTTTAGTTACTCAAGTTCTGTGTGGCATCTCAAGAGCTATATTCTCTACTTTTCCTGGAAAAATGAATCTCTTCATTAAAAGTGAGGTGGATGAAGAATAGTCAGAAACTTCAATAAACAAACTCATAAACACGTTGTAAACAAATGTTTAAGACAAAACAAATGACAAAGAGCTGTTTCACTATATTTGTTATAGCCTGGACTTTCCTGACTACAGACTAGACATTTTTAAAAGTGTGGTTTCTGTGTCTTCACAGCACTAAGTTGGCCCATTGCTTTTAAGTTAATTTTATTATTGTTGTTTGAAGAGAAGAGTATGAGCAGCTAGTAGGATAAATCCTATACTTCTCTTCAGTTTCTGAGAAACATAATGTGGTAGATGTATAATGACGAAGTTAATGTTGTGACTGAGCTCTCTCTCAAACTAATGACATAAACTCAAATAAGTCATCAAATAGCTTTGAGCTTCACATGGAGAATGTAAGACTAGGGGAATGCTAGGGTTTTCTCTAACTTTACTCATTCAGTTATTCTAATCACTTATTAATGTCGTATGTAAAAAAAAATTAATGATATAAAAAGTTTACAGCAGTTACTCACCCCTGTAAATACAGCAACTTTATTGACTTCTGAAATGAATGGGTATGGAAAACTAAGAACACTGGCAAATGGCTCCACTTTTTTCTAAATACACAACAATGGAAAAACAATTATGAAAAATTCATCTTTTCTCTATCTCTCACATCTATATAAAACTGACATGCTTTGTTTTTAATGTTTTCATTCTACCATACATCCTCTCATGAATCCAGAACTATTCACTGATTACAATTTAAGGCATAAGAGATTATATTTCTTTTATAAGAAACCATAATAAAAATCTAAATCTCTCTTCTCAGCTCCACAGTCCCATGGCCCTTGGCTTCTATCTCTACATCATTCATCACCGTCTCTCCTATGTTAAGAGATGTGTTTGCATACCCCTATCTTCCCCAGCACCCAATACAATGCTTACCACATGACAGATGCCAATAAATGCTTGCTACCTAGAACTAAATTCAAAAGAACATGTAATTTCTTCACACCATCAAGGAGGATATGAATAGAGCTATGAATACTGAACAATATCCAGCGGATCTGCTTAGTAGGTCACTCGGATCTCCAACATTGGCTTTAACAATCAGATAAATCAGATGATATTAACCAGAAATTCAAGACAGTTTGCCAAGCCAGAAAGGCTCTTCCAAGTAATCTATTTTAAAACAACCTGCACCACCCACTACTTTCAGATATCTGAAAGTCCCAAATAAACAATGGCACATACTTGAGGCACCCTAATACAGGCAGAGTTTCTACAGGGCCTCAGAACTAATTTGTTCAGTCATTTGGTCAAGGACCTGTCTAGGCCTGTGCCTCAGAGCTCTTAGGGAGACTTTACAGGAAAACAAATTCTAGGCCCATAGTTTTGGTGCAGCCTTAAGATCTGGAAGAAAGAGAAAAGGAATTATTCCCTAATTAAAACTGATAGAAAGATTATACTTTTACAAAATCTTTGTTTTGAGTGGAGATAACCCTGCAAGGATTTCTTTTCAGACAAAAAGGCACTAACTCTTAAGCACAGTTTATATCAGACGTGCAACTCAGTTTTATTGACTGGCATTCCTTTGCCATTAACATGTCACAACTAGCTTCAGTAAATTTTCCAATGGCAAGCAATCACAACAATAGCATTCCCCGGGGGAATAATGGCTTGTTTTACAAGCACTCTATCAAGAACAAAAAATGTCTTAGGAAGACAACAGAACCTTTGCAATGCCATTAGTTTACAAGTGGCTTTCATTTCTGAAATGAACCCTACAGCTGGTTAACTGAGAAAGTGTTCATCTCGGACACTACAACATTTTAAAATAAAAGAACTAATAGTAACATTATGGTATAAAATAAAATTATAATAGAGCTAATATAAACTATTTCTAATAAATAAGAACTAAGAAATGAGACAGACCTTGGTTCAAACCCTAACTCTACCCCACTGTTCTTGAGCAAGTTACTTCATTTTCTGTGTCTCAGCTTCCTCTTCTGAGATTATTATAGGATTAAATGAGAAAATGCATGCAAAGCATGTAGCATTGCTGCTGATAAACAGAAGTTTCCAGTAAATGTTATCTGTTATTATTTAACACCAAATCCTTTACTGTTATCTCATTTAATCCTGAATATAATCATATAAACTAATAAGAATTTTTAACTCCCTTTATAAATAAAGAGGTGAAAAAACTGAGGTTTGGAGAGGTTAAATCAGAAGCTCAAAGTCAAAGAGCAAGTAAACGGTGATGTCAGGATTCCAGCCTGTACTGTAACCTGACTCCAAAGCCTATGCTCTTAAGCACTGTGTGGTACTGCCTCCTCCTGTGCTCAATTACTGTTACGGAGGGGAGGGTATAACTCAGTGGTAGAACACGTGCTTAGCACTCAGGAGGTCCTGGGTTCAATCCCCAGTATAATTGTTAAAAAAAAACAAAAACACCTAACTAACTTCCCCCACAAAATGAATAAATAAAACATAAAAAATCAATTACTTTTGCCACTGAGGTTGTTAAATTGTATTCAAAAACATACATCTTCTAGTTTAACCCCAAAAAAGATACCCTCAGAATAAAAATTAGTATATCATCACCAAGAAAATTAGATTTCTTAAGTGAGCAGCTTACAAAATTTAGCATAATGGATCTCAATTCTAATTTAGTGTTTCTCCTACTTTTAGAGCTTTATAAACAAGTCTTCCATGAAACTGCAATACATAAACAGACAAAACAGAGAGTTCTGGTTGAAACGAGAGTAAGGGGCTTTGCACCCAACCCATACAAACTTAGTCTCAACTCAGGATTCTAAGGAACATATCTGAAGGCCACTGACCCAATCCAAAGCCTTCATTTACAGAGTAGGAATATCACACAGAGGCAGCTTAAGTCATTTTACAAAGTTACGGTAATACTCCAATTAATTTTAACACTACTTTTGTTAAAATTTGTACCAGTGATTTTTCAGGTGAATAAGAGATTCAGGCATTGTATGTTCATCAGCTCTGCAGAATATTTTCAACATTTTATTTCATATTTGGAAAATGGAAAGACAGAAAAACATATTTTTCATCCTAAAGTACAAAAAGAGCATAAGATTTCCTAAAAATTATTACGGGAGACAAGAATTTTTAAAATTAAGAAACAGCAATTCATTAAACCATTCACAGGTGAATTTATTTTAATCAAGTCTACATACCTTTTTCCCCAATGCCATATCCAGTGTCAAATCAAGATAAACGCCTTGCTTTGGATTAGTAAAGTCAAGAACCTGAAATTTCTTAAGTAAATGAATCGCTTTCTCCACCTCGTATATCTGCCTTGGGTATAAGCGTTTCAGGTAGACATCATCTTCAGGTTCACTTTCCATAAAGGGATATGACTTTATTTTTTCTATCTCATCCTTTTTCTCATCTGATGCTTTTTCTTTGGCACCTTTTTTTGTTTTCTTTGCAGGCCTTAAGGAAAGGTAAGTCGAAGATCAGTTATCTCAATATGTAGTCCAAGAGACTTAAAAAAAAAACAAAAGGCACTGCACATCAGAAAAAAATGACAAAAGATAAAGTTTAATTTAAAAGCATTGATTACTTTACAGTTTTTCTAGTTCAACAAATATTAAGTGAACTCTTGTACTGTTTGCAGTTGATACAAAGTTGGATAAGGCAGTGCTCTCCAAAAACTTAGAGAAGAGAGACATGTAAATAGATAATTTCAATATAATGTGGTAAGTACTATAAGACTGTTATCAGAACCATAGGGAAAAGACATTTAACCCATCCTAGGAGGCCAGGAAAGGGTTCTGAAAGAGATGACCCCAAAGTCAGTTCTTGAAGGATAAGGAAGAATAAGCCTAGATATGTACCCAAGACAAATGAAAATATATGACCATACCAAAACTTGCACACAAATGTTCACAGCAGTATTAACTCAAAATAGCCAAAAGGTAAAACAACCCAGATGTCCATCAACTGATGAATGGATATATTAAATGTGTTACTTATCCATACAGTGGAATATTTATCATCAATGAAAAGGAATGAAGTCCTGATACATGCTATAATATGTATGAACCTTGAAAACGTGATGCTAAGTGAAAAAAGTCAATCACAAAAGACCACATATTGTATGGTTCCATACACAGGAAGTATCAAGAATGGACATATCAATAGAAACTGAAAGTAGTTTGTGGCTGTCTAGGTCTGGGGGAGAGGGTTAGGGAAATGGGGAGTGACTGCTTATGAGCATGGGGTTTTGAGGGAAGATAATGAAAATGTTCTAAAATTGACTGTGGTGATGGTTGCACAACTGTGAATATGTTAAAAATCACATGATGAAGCATGATAAACAGAATCGTACACAAGGGGAGCTATTGTAAGTTCTAGCAGACTAGAGCAGAAGTTGGTAAACTTTTTCTGTAAGGGACCAGACAGCAAATACTCTATGGTCTCTTGTCTCAATAACTCATCTCTGCCATTGTAATGTGAAAGCAGCCATGGACAATACAAAATGAATCAGTGTATCTGTGTTCTAACAAAACTTTATTTATGAAGACAAGTTTTATATTTTTAATAATTTATAATTTTCATATGTCACAAATTACTGTTTTTTTCCCCCAATCACTTAAAAATGTAAAAACCATTCTTAGATCATGAAACATACAAAAATAGACAGCGGGCCTGATTTTTCGGCCCACTGGCCATATTTTGCTGACTCCTGAACTAAAGGGTAAAGCATAAGGTGGGAAACAGCAGAAGATGAGGCTGGAGAATCTAAATCACAGAAGGTCTCCTCTAGAGGCAATAAGAAGCCAATAAACAAGACTGGCATCTGTATTTCAAGTAGAGTATTCTGGGTGCAATATAAGGGATGGATATGAAGGAAGCTGGATTAGAGACAATTAAGAGATAACTCCCTCCCTTTCTTCTCAAGGAGGTATGACAGCATGAACCAAAGCAGTGATGGCAATAGGCTGGAGAAATTGTAGAAATATTTTACAAGGTAAATATTGAACATAGGGAAAAGGTAAAGAGAAGACTCTAGAATACTTTGTAGGTTTCTGACTTGGGTGACTAGACATAGAGTTAGCATTATCAGAAATAAAGAAAGCAAAATGGGTTTTTTATTAGGGAGGTAGTCACAGAGATGAACTGGAGTTTGGGGCAATGTGGTGTTTGAGTGTGGGCTTAGTTGCATCAATTGGCCCCAATTTTTTATCCTCTCTATTCAAGTCCCTTTACTAAGTGACTTTGCAGTTCCTTCCACTTAAAAAGGTGCAGTATATTTCCCAGGACCTTGGTTTGGTCATGTGACTAGTAAGCCAACAGAATGAAGCAAGTGACAGCTTCTCTGCTCTAAGCTTAGGCCGTAAGAGGCTTTATCTGTTTCTACCTGTATGTTTGCATTTCTGCCATTTTCATAAGAACATGCCTAGGCTAGCCCAAAGGTGGGAGGATGAGAGGCACGTAAAACAGAGCTGCCCCCACAGAGCCCCAGGCTAGATTAGACAATTCTCAGCTCACCTGCAGACTCACAGAGACACAGCAAGCCCAGCCAAGGTCAGCCAAGACACCTACCCAAACCTAGCTTAGAACAGCTCACCCATATGTGTGTGCAATGATAAACAATTGTAGGGTGGCTTATTACATAGCAAACCCTAACAAGATGCTTACAAAAATATCTAAGAAAATATGTTCAACAGGTAAATGCAGGTTAAAGTTTGAAGCTAAGACAGAACTAGAGGTGACATATTTTCTCAGTATTAATTCAAATCACACCTATAATCTTTTAACCATACAAGTTTTTTTATCAATGAAACAATATTCTAGAGAGATGTTTGGCTTCTCTGGTAGACAGAATAAAAGCTTCCCAAAGATGTCCATCCATATCTACATGGCAAAAAGGACTATGTAGATATTATTAAGACTAAATAACCTGAGATGGGGACAGTATCCTGGATTATCCAGGTGGTCCTAATCTAATCACACAGTCCTTGAAAGCAGAAAAACTTTCCCCTTTCATATCTGCATCTGACAGAGATGGGAAGAGACAGGAGAAATTTGAGCATAGGACTCAATATGCCATTCCTCACTCTGAAGATGGAAGAAGGCGGAGCCACTGAGCCAAGGAATGTGGCAGCCTCTAGAAGCTGGGAATGGTAAAGAAACAGATTCTCTCCTAGAGCCTCTAGAAAGGAACAAAGCTCTGATGACACCTCGATTTTAGCCCACTGAGATCCATGTTGGACTTCTGATATACAGAACTGCAAGATAATAAACTTGTGTTGTTTTAAGCCATGAGGTTGGTGGTAATTTGTTACAGCAGCAATACAAAATTAATATGGGCTCCTATAAAATATATGTGAAAGAAATAGATGATAGTAAAATGATTTTTAAAAAAAAACCTCAAAAACCAATCCAACATATAATCCATTCTCACTTATAGCCTTAATGAATCCTTATTACCACACTAATAATAGTATCCTCCCAACTAATGAGCAATTCAACAGAATAGCAGATAATGACAGTGCTCATTTTTAATGGGACACAGGTGTCCTACTGGACTGATGACAAGTCTTAGTATGTGCCCAAGTGGATGGATGCAACATGCCTCAATAGAACTTGGAAGTATGCCACAAAATTCTGAAATCTTCCAAACGGGAAATCACACTTTACATTTAGTAAAAGAGCAATGAGGCCAACAGAAGAAGGAGCCTAGATGGCCTGTTTTAGTGATAAACTCTCTAAAATAAACAAATGAATAAATATTCTAGTTATTACCTACAGATTTAGTTTACACAAGTGCTGATTTTACCACTGAATTTTTAATCATGGCTGAACCTGTCCGTTTAATTTGCAATTAATAATACAAAGTTCCCAGAAGTTAAAATATGATTTTTAAATTAATAAATATTTGCAAACCCCAAAAGTTTGATACATAAAGAGACTGGGTTGGGTATACAGTGGTTTACTTATATATACTTTGGACCTTGTTTCACAAAGTATTTGAGATGGTTCAGTGAAAATATTGTTAAGTTACAAACAGAACACTGTTAAGTATAACATCATTATAACAGAGCAAATAGGACTCTAAGGAAAACACTTTATTCCAAAAATTTTTAAAAAACTTGCAATTGAATAAAATCTGTCAATAATAATTAATTTTATAAACCCATCACCTGTTTCCATGACCGTCCAAAAATTGTCTGTTTTTATTCATATGAATCACATCCACAAGCACTTTATTGTTCATGCAATTATGTAAAGTCCTATCAAGAGGGCTTAAATACTATGAATCTCAGGGAATAAAACAATCATACTAGAAAGGTTTTGGGGAAGGTGAGGGAGAAACACCTGGCAGTCTGAATTAAAGAGAACATAATTCAGCTGCAGTTGCCTGGGTAACTAAACCACATAGATTAAATGAGTAATAAGAGACTGTATTCAGGTAATAACTTCCTCCCTGCCTCCCCTGTCTCTTAACTTCGAAAGCGTGAAAGGAAAAATAATTCTATGGTTATACCCAAATAAAACAAGATTAAGAAAAAATTCAGTCCTATAATAAATCTCACTATGAGACCTTTGAAAATCTGTCACCCCAGAGATCCAAGTCCTTTTAAGGCTAAAGAACCCTTTACATTGAGGAATTGGGGTGAGGGGTGGGAACCGCAGTCAAACTAAATTGAACTAAAGAGAACTAAGGAGGAAATGCCTAGGGCATATAACTATTAATGGAATATCAATGTCTGGAATTCTTATATCTCAGTGTAATCACATAAATAAATGCACCAACATCTCTGATGCTGGTTTATTCATTAAACTAAATGCAGAAGTTCTGCTTACACTTAACGATGTAAAAACTGATAGAATGAAACCCAGTCAATAATAATCCAAATAAAAGCTGGAAAGAACATTAATAATGACAGAGTCAGATAAAAGCACAACTTTTCCTGAACCTATAAAAGAGCTGAGATAGCAGGGCAACCAAGTAGGCCTGAAATCTAAGGAGTCAATTCCCCACAGCCCCACTCCACATGCATCCTGCCAGGATGGTCTCACCCATAGCAGAGAATGAGGAAGGCAAGCAGGTAAGAAAAAAAAAACATCAGCTTAACTTTTAGTGCTAGTGTGACAGTATAAAACCCCTGAGAGATCCAGACACAAGGGGAGTTCACACTCAATGCATGGACCCTTTCCACAGATCCCCCACTAGGTGTTCCCAGGAAAGACTGGAGTAGGCCAAGAGACTAGAACGTCTCCCTCGAGGGTGCAGCACGTAGATCTCTCACTGGTGCTGCCAATAACTGTAAAACCTTCTAGGAAACAGGTAAACACCCACTGTGTGTAGGGGAATGAAAGAAGAAAAAAACCACTAAGACTTCTATCCTGGGGCAGGGGTTGGGGTTGAGGAGGGCAGGTGGCACAGTAACCTCTATAAATAAAGCTACGGAAGGGTCCAGATA